GCTCTTTTCGTAATTTACCCACATTATTTGCCCTGAAGCCGAAATGAGATATCAAATGTTTCAACTGTAGATAAAATTTACCCTTCAAAAGACCTTGACTCAATTTTAATATTTAATAATGTAAAAGATTTTGCTTGGTCCTGGTTTTCATATCAGAGAACGACTTTTGATAACTAGTTAACTAACTACTTTTTGCACCCCTATTGTCACATCTTTTTCTCGTGCACTTTGCTGTCCATCAATTTTTTTATGTTCGACTCACGATCCAACTTTCGTGATTTACGTGGTTACAAAAGTTTACATCCACAAATTTTCTTCAAGAAGGTTAAATTATACATAAAGAAAAACTTTTAACAGCCCTCAAATATTTTTAATTGGATCGAAGGTTATTAATAATCCCATTAATATCGACCTACATACCGAAATCGCGACCTACATAATCCGCCAAGGATAAATACAAAACATACTGAAAAGTCCAAGATATTGACTGGTCAAGGTGGACATACCAAACCTTTGAAACCTGTTAAATAGGGAAGAGTTGTAATAGAAGCCCACCTACAAGGTGGACCGACGACATCGTAAAGGTAGCAGGGAAGCGCTGGACGCAGGCCGCTACCAATCGATCAACGTGGAAAGCATTGGGGGAGGCCTATGTTCAGCAGTGGACGTCCTATGGCTGAAATGATGATGATGATGATGATGATGTAATAGAAGAGAGTTGTGACGTTGTCGATTTTTTGGAACTTATTAACTACAGCGAGCTCGTAACAGTGCACGTTTTTTAGTTCAAGTCTCAAACAAACAAATGTGCGCTGTTGCGAGCTCACTCGCTTGTTTTCCAAAAATCGACATCGTCGATTTTTGTTACAACTGACATCATAACAGTTATGTTACAACTGACTTAATCATCATCATCATTTCAGCCATAGGACGTCCACTGCTGAACATAGGCCTCTGAGGGCCTCCCCCAATGATTTCCACAATGGCCGGTTGGTGGCGGCCTGCATCCAGCTCCTTCCCGCTACCTATATGTCTGTATGTACTATCTATATGTATGTGCAACTCACTTCGGTCTCCCCTAACTTACTGAAACGTCCAAACTATTGACTGGTCAAGGTGGACATACCAAACCCTCAATCTTGGCGGTTTTTTTCGCTACTTCCACGCCACAATCTGATAACTATTGAGCTCATGAATAACAAAATACAGCCTTGAACTGTTTATATGTTACGGCTCCTAAAATCAAGGGCAGATCGGAGATTTGAGGGAGCCGTTTGAAAAATTTCGTGCTGCTACCGACCAATTATATTATTTGCGTGCGTTGCGTAAAGGAAAGAAGGTTTAATTACACTGGTCAACAGTGGTTTTGGTGCCAAGGAACTGTATATATTTTTTGATTAAGGACCTTATACTGGTTGCTTTAGTAGTAAATTTGTTGATTTCCTACGTGTGGTTTTCCAGATTTTGACGTGTATAGAAAAATACAAAATTTCACCAAAATCAGCGTTTATAATATTTTGAAGTGCTTAAAAACTTTCTTTTCCACGACTTTTGTGAATGAGGTGTAATGGAACTATCACGTTACATCCTCCAGCAGTAATCAGCCATCATATAGCTATCCCATCTGCCTTGGTACCTCTCTTCCAATGGTTTTTAGGTCTTGATAGCATCACTCTCCCTGTTCTTAGCTATAGGATGCTATAGTGACCCAAGATTCTCTGAGAATTGGTCAAGATGACTGTGGAGGTAGTGCCCTTTGATTTAAATTATTACATCCTGAGTTTTTAGGGCATGTCTCACAATTTCATAGTAGTTACTAGACCTGTGATTTCCGAAAAAAATTTTAGTATCTTCAACGAACGAAGTCCACGTAAATCGTTCCAAACGTCCATCAAAGTTAAGAAATCAGTATCTTTTATTAATATTCTTATTTGTGGGCCATCAAAAATTTACTGCTTTAACATTTTTTTATGCTCAAACCAGGATTTTTTTTTTGTTTTTTCCTCACTTTTTCCACTCTGAACTTCATGTTATGGCTTCTTTGACCATTGAAACATTGCCTCAGTGATCACAGCAGATTATACAAACAATTTCGGGTATCCACGGCTTGAATACAACCACAATTTCCGACTTAAAGTAAGAAAAATAAGCACTTTTTATTAAAATTTTGTCTAAATTTTTGAAATTCTTAACTGTGTACACATCACAAATGTAACAAATTACATTTGGATCGTTGAGGCAACTTTTTGCCAATGCAGACATGATATTAAAATAAATTTCGTTATAAAAATATACCGATAACATTACAAACTGTGCAACCAAAGTACCGATTAAAGCTAAAATTTAAAACTGACGGTAGATCAAAAACTACACGTAGGAAAAAAAAAGAAAAATATTTTTATTATTACTAATACACACCTAATAATAAACTATCAACAGAATCTCGGCACCATTTTAATTTTGATATTTTGTTGACCAGTGTTATGGTTTCAGTTCGAGGGCCTTTAAATAAAGTGACTTTCGATTTCGATTCGAGGACGATGTTGTTTCGCTAAAGATGTTACATTTTCTGAATTCTGACGTGTTATGAGATTAGAATTATGAAATAAAAAAGTTTTTGGTACTATAATATAGGGCATGGATGGTACTAACCTTGGGGCAGGTCTTTGTCGAGCAGTGGACATCTATCGGCTGAGGAACTTCGCTTTCGCTTCAGCTTCGAGGAATATTATTCATAATTTCATGAATTATGGTACGTAATCCGCGTATTTGTCATCAAAATCAATCCAGCCGTTTCAGAAATTAACTGAAATAAACCACAGACACAGTCAAAAAAGTACACTCGCATATTTATTTATGTAGCTAAATCATTAAAATTAACTTATTTAGGTATAAAATGCACCTGAAAACACAACGCCAAGTTTCCCAACCAGCTTAAAGTGGACTTATTGAACTTACTAAAGGCTTATGAACTTCGAAGCTAATAATAAATCAAGAGCCAACCCCTAGAATTCCTTTTACTAAATCCAAAATAATGTCCAAAGCTTTAGGAGTTGGATATTGTGATACAGAAAGTGTCGCCATAGAAAAGCTGAAAGCTTTCATTCCGGGGACCTATATCCCTAAAAAGCTTTTTCATTCTACTCATAACAACCATTTTTACGCCAGTGTTTTATAACCCTGTTGTAATAACATTTGTATAGTAAATATTATAATTTATCTATTCTCTTGGTCTTCCTAATATGAATAAGGCCCGTTTCGACCAAACTTTAATCCGAGAATAACTCCTGGTTGCAAATAAAGCTGGCACATTGACAGTTTCAGTATGGGAAATTATGTCAAAATGTCGATTAACTGACGATTTATTCTGAGGTTAATATTTACTCAGATATTAATCTCAGAATAAACTTTTCATTTTCATTTTTCATTTCATTCATTTCATTCAGTTATTTTCGGATTAAAGTTTGATCGAATCGGGTCTAAATGTAAAATGATAAATAGCGGAGTTAAATAGGTTCACCCCTACTCTTCCCGTAAATTTTGTTCAAGTTGACAGGTTCAAAAAATATGCGGACGACAGGCCTTGGCATTTTTTTTTACTTTGGCTATTAATTTCATATGATGGTAAGCCATAAAGTGGTTTATTTGAATACATGAAATGGAAGGTGTATATTTTATGGTTATGAGAATTTTTAACATAACAATTTATTTTCAAAAACCTTTTAAGTCTCCAACATACAAACGTAATTAGAAATGCATCGACTAATGCACTTTCACTCAACTTTACAACCAAATTTATGACTTTCTTGCATGTTTAAGAATATAATTAGTATTTTGTCATAAAATCCACCAACGAAATACCAAGAAACCAATTCCAAGTTTAGAAATTATAGTCCGCAATGGATTTACACTGCGGATTATAATTATGGGACCTTGAGTAAGTTTTCCAAAAGTTGGAAGTTGTGTAAAGCTGGATACTCACTAGCTAACAACTGTCACCACTAGATCTGTATCTAGTAACCTTGTAGTATCAAGGTAAATTAATTAACTGTAACCTTAAACCTATGACTGTGTGTTGAAATAAATGACTTATTATTATTATTAAATAGTATTATTTGAGTCCTTGAATGACGATAAAAGACAGAAGAAGTTTACATTTTGCAAAGTTTATTGTATGCCGTTTTTAAACAGCACAAACATAAAATTAAGCCACGATAGCCGAACGGTGAAGGGGTCGGACTGGCCGACTCGAGATCCGAGGAACGTGGGTTCGAATCCCACCGCCGCTCGACTATTTTGTGGTGAGCCCACTCGTAACGCTTAGCACGAGGGGCTAACGGGACTACTAATAATAATAATTTATGCAATACAAATAATTAACTACTAATGATCTTTTTTTTAAATCACGAGCAAAATAATGGGACCTTCCAGAAGCAATCGTGGTTTTTGGTGACAGCCATTTATGTAACAGTTACGGAGTATTTGTGAGCACCCAGCTTTAGAAATGAAACCTATAAAATTATATGGTGCAGTGCCAATACTATTACGTGTGCGACCGCTATAAAATGTGCCCTTTGCAAAGGTGAGTATTCGTAGCTTCAGTTATTGAGAGAATTAACGATTTGCGAGCCATTTTAAGAAGGCGAATTTCCTAATTAGTTTTATGCAAATTTTAATGGCTTCATTTTATTTGAGCATTCCCGGTTTTCAACCAAGGTTATTATTATTTAATTACCTTTTAATATTTTTTTTAATCTTAATTTTTAATACTTAATGTCAGTCGATAGCACGGATTTGACCCATCCGTCGTCGCTTTTGCAAAATTTTCAGGCGGTTAGACAGATCGATTCGTCTTGCAAAATTGATTATGATGGTGTAGATAACTCAGTTTCGAAAAAAATGTCAGATACGTCAGTTAGTGAGGCAAGCGACGCCGTTAGCATAGACACCGCTGCAGTAATAATTTATCCATGGACCTATAAAAAAAGGCGGACGGAGTCTCATCAACAAAATACTGTGACATTAGGTTACACCAGCTCGCCTGTACGTACAGGCCGGCACGCACACATTCACACCCTGTTACACCACTTCGAGTGCAAACTTCACATAGTTGACACATTTAGGCGGCGAAAAATAAAACAAATAACGTCATGTCTTGTGTGGTGAAATGGTGTAAAAACCGTTCTGATCGAACGAATAAAAGTCAAGGAATCACATTTCACAGGTAAACTAATAATTCAATCACTTATTTCCCGATTTTATAAACATTAAAATATTAAAATCAAATGTCATTCACCCGAAAAAATTAATACGTCAAAGGCCAGTGTTCTCAGTTATTTACGTGGGAAAATTACCCGAAATATGGGAATTTATAATTTTAAGACTTTTTAGTTGTTTATTACGGCATTACTAGGCATTTTCTTTTAAAATTACTTTTTTATTAAATTTTGTACACTAGATTTCCTAATGAAAATGAAATATGGAAAAATGATTGGATTCAAATAATAAGAAATTGTAACAACGACAACGATTGGATCCCAAGCAAACGTTGTGTCATTTGCAGTTGTCACTTTGAAGAAAATGACTTATATACGACTAAAGGAGGACGCCGGCGTATTGTTACATATGCATTGCCTCAAAAGGTTAATTAAAATCTAAACTAAAGCATTTATTTTGAAACTTCAAAAGTTTTAAATAAGCTTAATGAANAAAGAAAAATATTGTTTCCATTTGAGTTTAATTTGATTTCTTAGTCAAAATATTATGATTTATGTGTACCTACCTACTAATTGTTTGTACAAACTTACTATAAAAATAAAATAATTTATCATAATAACTGTGTTTTATTTTCATAGGCAGATTTGATCCTTCCCAAGGATGTGAAAATGCGAAATTAAAATTTTCTTGAGTCAGTGTCAGCTCAGGTCTTATGTTAAAATCTGTCAGAGTTAATAATAATAAGTATATTAGTGATACATAAGATTATGATTATTTACACAAGATTCGTAATTTGTAACTGTGTGAATCATATGTGAATCATATTTTGATCAACATAAAACCTGACACTGACTTGCAAACAAAAAAAGAAAATTTGAAAATTTAATATTTCGCGCCTAGGTACCTCAACGCATTCACCTTCCATCCTTTTCAAATGGCACGGTATAATTTTGTCTAGGTATATTTCCAAGTAACATATCTGCCGATCTATGTTTTTCTTAAAATAAATGGGTAAAATGTTTTGGCTAACATGGCATCCCTAAATTCACTCACACAATAGACAAACGCCAAAATTTTGCGTCACAGTTTTGTTGTAGCGCGAGTTCCGTCCGCCTTTTTTTATAGGTCCATGAATTTATCTATAATTTTTATGAGTACTATGTGAGCCACTATGTGTATTTTCACGTTTGTTACTCAAGTCAATATGTGGTTTCCCTGCCATGCCCAAATTATACATTACCATAGATTAACAACAACACAATGGTACTGATTTCAAACTAAGAAGCGCCTTGTTAAGCCTCCCCTAATCTGTCGCTTACATCCCACATTTAAATCCATTGTTATTAACCCAAAGGCATTGCCCAGTAGTTTGGCTGCAAACGGATTGAGTGATTGAGGTCCTGGCGCTTATGTGAGGACGTGAGAGGAATAGTAAGGTACTTATTAACATGAGGATTGAGCGCTGATCCTCCCAGGATTATCTTTTGGGCTCCTCAGTTTGCGGTGGGAACTTTTTAGTATAGGCGGTTTTTTTAACACGTAATGTTTATTTTTTTCGTGATGTTGGTGAGGACACTGAGGTCACCTTAGTGTCAAATTTTATGACCCGCGAATGGCGTAATGACATAGTCAGATGGAGATTTCTCATTTCCTCGGTGTGTTATTAAAAATATTGTTAAGAAGCTTCAAATCTTGATGTCTTTGCCTTTCAATTCGTTCAATTATTTTTTTTAAATCATGCACTTCGATTTTCAAAATCAAATACCTTTATCAAAACTCCATACTCTTGACATTTTCAAATAAATGGCGCGGGCAGGAGCGATGCATTGACTCCAGGCTACTTACAGGTCTACGAAGATCCGTTTCAAACTCGATTCCATATTGAAAATCAAATCCTTCCACACTCTTGACATTTCCAAACAAATGAATGCCGTCAATCGCAGTGACCCACATAGGGGATGGCAGAGGCGGGCAGGAGCGATGCAATGACTCCAGGCTTCGGCTGGTCACGCGAGCTCCGTCGCGCGCTCCCTGCCTATTACACGGCTCTATGAACGTCTTAGAAACGGCAAAGTTTTGTAAATTACTTTTGAACTTCTTTTTTATGCTTCTGGATTATTTGGAACCTAAAACCATTATAACATACAGTAGACTGTTCAAGTGTTTGATTAAAAATGCTACGGTACTTCTTCTCTAGTGTGAAAGCTTGCAGCTCAACTCTACCAAACGTCATGGAAAACACATTATTTTTGTCAATAAAAATAAATTGACATAATTTGCCTTATCATTTGCACAGAAATACTTATAATAGACTTCTATTCGTTGTAAGATGTCATGCAAATCTCAAAGCAAAACAAAGCTTTAATAAAACACCTGTGTTTAATTAACTCCAGAAATAATAACTCCACTATTCCACCCTTAGACGATTAATGAACCATTAATCACTTTAGTTTCACTTCAGTGCTCAAATTGGCCACTTCTACAACACTCAGAAGCCGCAAAAGCAATTCCTTGGTCGCTATAACGACGGACAACCCCACTGTTTACGAGCCGAAGTCTGCACGAGAACAGTAACGCACCACCGTCGAACCGGGCCGCCCACCCTGTGCCGTGCTGAACAAATTCAAATATCGAAGCGCGCGGAATCTAGAACTACCATTCGAAATTCAAATTTAAATTCGAAATTTTGAAAATGATTCGAATCGTTCTTTTGTTTCTTCTGATCGCACTCGCGCTGTCAGCCAGAGAACCGCGCCAAATAACTTTAGCCAACCAAGGGACGATAGCGGGCATGTACCTCACAAGATTCAGGACTAAAAGGATAGCTGCGTACGTAGGGATACCCTATGCCCAGCCTCCTATAGATTTCAGAAGATTCACGGCCCCAGAATACACAGATTTGCCACAGTGGGAGGGGATCAAAAACGCAACGATATACGCGCCGGATTGTATGCAAAGTGAGCCCAAGAGGGAAGATGTGCTCATTCCTTGGCATAAACACGACGAGTTGTTTTCGAAGCTTCTGGATGCGCAGTTGGCGGAGCCGAGGAAGAAGGAAATATCGGAGGATTGTTTGTACTTGAACGTGTACGTCCCGGACGGTAAGTTATTTGTTTACTTAGTTTAGCTATACCGTGTGTCTGTTCATATTAACATAATGTTATTTTTGTACTTACAAAAATAATAATGTCTGTCATAACAATATCAGTAATAATTTAAGTTATTGTTACTAAGTGGAACCTTCATAATGAATACTGGTGGTCTAATAAAAAAGGTACTTCTTACATGAATTAAGAAATTACTTAAAACTGTATACATTCCGACAGCTCAGAGCCGGTTGTTAGGAAATCCTGGGAAGCTTTATGCCCACTTCTGGGCATAGTTTTTTGCAACTTTGTACGCGTAACAATATTGATGCAATAACGTACTTTGTTTGACTTACCCACGTAAATAAATAGTCTAAAATATATAGCTATTCTGATTTATAAGCTAACATTATAAAACTTCACCCAAATCCGTCCATTTTTTGCGAATAAGAAAAATCTTGAACATCACCAACGTTTATAATATTACCTACAAACACTTTCGGTTCGTTAGTCAGTCCGTAAACCAACAAAGAACAAGCCAGCAATTTCGTTCCCCAAATGTATTCCGACTTTATTACTATCAATACAGCGTACATAATAAGTCCTTAGTTAACCTACTTTTGCTTCTCCCCCATCTGATAAGGAAGTCATTTTCTTGGGGGTAGTTGCCATTCTGGTTGCCAACGCGTGCTAGCAGCAATCATCGACAAGGTTGCTTTTGGCGTGTACCTATTGTTTTTGAGTGAAATTAATAATACTAGTGGAACATTGCTGAAAAATGCTGTATGAAGTCAGAACTTTCATGTAAACAATGACGTATTTTTTTAGTATATTCATCTTATCCTAATAATATTACAAATGCGAAAGTTTGAATGTCTGGATGTTTGTTACTCTTTCGCGCAAAAACTACTGAACGGATTTTGATGAAACTTCACAGTATTAGTTTTTATAACTCAGAATAACATATTAGCTATAATTTATGACGATCTGTCGCATAGTAAATTTCACGCTGGTGAAGCCGCGGGCAAAAGCTAGTCAATAATAAATTTAAAATTATAATAGCAAAGTGCTACAATTTTGGCGGGTTCGCCATCAAACAAGAGAAATGTCACTAATATTTTCTATTTTCTGTAATAAAATCGTTGAGGTCGCTTAAAAAGTACTTAAGTCTTATACAGGTTGTCCCAGAATGAGTGAATCAAACTGCTATGGGACGTAGCTTACTGAGACCTACCCCTAAAAATATGAAAAAGAATTCCCATTCTGGGAGACCCTGTATTTTGAGCAGGCAAGTCGTTTGTATGTAATTGTAGAACCGGAAAATTGTCTGACAGCTACTTATAGGACTAATTGACAAATACCAACTGCTGAAATCTATATTTATAAAAGCAAAATGTCACTGACTGACTCACTCACTCATCCCGAAATCTCAAAAACTACAAATGCATCCATGGGGTTCCTTTTAGAACGTGGTGCTATTATGAACGGATTAACGCGGGATCCAACCGCACGAAGTCGCGGGCGGCCGCAAGTATGAAATGCAAATATGTATCAGTATATTATTATTGTATTATTATCTATAACACACTAACACCTTCACAAAAGTTTTTCACACTACCCAACACGCTGGCAACACCAGCCCCACATGTTGCCCTTATCGTCTTCCGGGGCCATACATCATGTATGTTTAACACAACCTCTGAACCTATCCGAAACCAACTAGTGTGGGTCATAACATCATTTAGAAACTAGCTCTTATTACAGGCATTTAAAGACGATGGCACATCAAGCTTAATACTGTGACATAAAAACTCAAAAAACTCATTTTATTTTACCCGACTGCGCCAAAAGAAGGGTTATTGCCAGTAGGCTTTTAAAAAGCACTTTTACACGTCCCAGAATTAACCCTACCACTGCTTTAACTACTACTGCTACTATTAAAAATACATAATATGCGTGGTGGCAAAATACATAAATCTTATGGAGTGTGAAACCTATTTCATCCTTATCCCCTAAGATGAAAGTTGGTACAGAAGAATAATCTCTCGCACGTATGAAAAGTACCTACCTAAGTAAATCACCTTCATAGTACAAGATACTAGTGTTTTTAGTCTTCTGGCGGCGCTCTCTTCAAAAACTTTTCACGTTTATACTATTGTAGTCAGAAAAATAGAGATTATATTTTATTATTTTAGTAGATACTAGCTTTTGACCGCGGCTTCATCCGCGTGAAATTTCGTTTGTCATAGATCGTCATAAATTATATACATGTTATTCTGGGTTATAAACAATATTTCTGTAAAGTTTCATCAAAATCCGTTCAGTAGTTTTTGCGTGAAAGAGTAACAAACATCCAGACATCCAAACAGTTTAAGACCCAAGGAAAAACATAGAACTGTTTTCATACCAGTTTTTGAAACGACACGCTCGTGTAGCTGTATCTCGTAACACTTCGTTCCATACCGTTATCCTAACTTCCTAACTAATAATATTATAAATGCGAAAGTAACTCTGTCTGTCTGTCTGTCTGTCTGTCTGTCTGTCTGTCTGTTACGCTTTCCCGCTTAAACCTCGCAACCGATTTTGATGAAATTTGGCATAGATATAGTTTGAGTCCCGGGAAAGAACATACGATAGTTTTTATCCCGGTTTTTGAAACAGGGACGCGCGCGATAAAGTTTTTCTGTGACAGACAAAATTCCACGCGGGCGAAGCCGCGGGCGGAAAGCTAGTGTGGTTATATCGTTTGGCCTTCCCTTCCATCTTTCACCCTTCCATGGCGATACATCATGCTTACTGTACGCCACGTTATCCGATTGGCTAATCCTGCGGCCACCTTAATACATCATTTGTCGTGGCAGTTTGGGGTCCAAGGCCATGTATGTAGGGTACTTGCTGTGGTCTATTTTTGAACGCCCCATTTGTTTAAACTTTAATAATATTTAGTGGTTATACAATACAAGATGTAAGAGAACGCTGGTTCTATGATAGGTTATACTACTGATCAACAACATCTTTTTTTTGGGTCGATATCGAAATCACAAAAACTTAAAGTTATAGGTGCAAATGCCAAATAACTGTAAGTGTAATGAGTACAACCAAACCTACAAGATAATGCAAAAGAAATCATCATCATCATCATTTCAGCCACAGGACGTCCACTGCTGGACATAGGCCTCCCCCAAATTACTTCCACATCGCACGGTTGGTAGCAGCGTGCATCCAGCGCCTTCCTGCTACCTTTATCAGGTCGTCGGTCCCACCTTGTAGGTGGCCAAAAGGAATGGCTAATGTATAAACAATTGCACTATAATAATATCATAATAGCTGTACCTACGTCGTCGATGTTGAATTTAATTAATTATGTATTCCAATAATTTAATTCATTCATTAATTTATACTATTTGCATTGAATTAGAATCGTACTCATTATTCCCGAAGGATTAATAATGAAGGCTCACGATTCCGGCTGCTCATTTCATATTAATACCAATTAACATCAGTCCGATTCGGATTTGATAACTAAGCGGGCGTGATTGGACGGCGCGACCTAAAGTTTACTTCAAAGGACTTGCAAAGTCCTACCATAAAGGATCAACGAGGACCTAATACTATAATCATATCTATAGGGGATTCGCCTTCGAACATACGCCTCCTCTTTAACCCTCCACCGACTTCTGTCCCTGGCCACTTGCATCCAGTTTGCTGCCGGATGTCGTCTGTCCACCTTTTAGGCAGTCTTCCCCTGCCGCGAGTGTTGTTGCGGGTTCTCCACTCCAGGGTTTTTCTACCCCAGCGATCAATGTGTCCTGCTCATATCCATTTACGGCTCTCAATCTTTTCCACCACGTCGCTGACCCCCGTCTCTTCTCTGATCCACTAATTTCTTTTGTGATCTTGTAGGGAAATGCCAAGCATACCAAAGACGATAATCATATAAAAATCATATAAAACATAGCTAAACACAAAAAATAAACATACAAATTCGACAAAGCCTGCAAAAATAAAGCCATATTAATGCTCATCCTTTTGATCCTGGCCTCGCGTAAAACGTTCATAAACAATTTTCCTCAGATAACGCCGCGAAAATTGCCACGAGCAAGTTTTATTTAATGGGGAACAGTTTAATTCGCCACTGAGATTAATTTGAGTGAAGCGAACTTGGTGGGCGAGTTTGGATCTTAAAAGAGAAATGGTGGTTCAGTAGCCTTCCTACCCAAGTAAAGCCCTTCTGACACATTGGGTTGCCAATTGTGAATCGCAAGCCCAAACTTGTTAGCTTTTTTTACCAGACATTAGCGGACAAGACCGTCTTTGAGTCTCTAAGATTTCTTACATACATTAAACGATCATTTAGTCCATTTTGTCCTTCAGTCTACTTTCATGACAACTTTTAAACCTTAAATTCAAACTCCTCCTATGTTCTTCTGATTAATTTCGTTGCGGATTCAATGATAGAACTTTCCTCCGGGACAAACTTGACCTTCACTGGTTGGATTTTTAATGGCAGTCAAGCTGCAGATCCTGACTACACAGGAGTTGCAGCGGTAAGTAGGAACGAGAGGTGGGAAGTGTCCCTTTTACGATACACACGGGAAGAGGAACAATGGGAGTGGTCCTATTTACTCTGCCGTTACACAGTTCGGTTAAACTTTGGATCTGGATACCGTGCATTGTGTAACTTATGACCTAGCACGTGACTACCCTAGATGATCGAATAGATAATGGTAAGGTAAAGATCATACACACACCTGCTAACAAACTAAAACTGGTTCACAAAAAAATAATTTTAGGAACCGTTTTAGTTTGCAAAGATCTTGCTTTCGTAAAAAAAGTCCTCCACAAATTCTCCTTACTAAACTAAAAAATTCGACATTACCTATAAGAGCCTACTACATCTATCTGAGTTAGAGATAATGATTGGCGGTAAACTTTTTTGATAAAGCGACGTACGCAAACTTTGGCTCGGGCCGAAAGTGTTACAGTTAAGGGCTGAAAGGGTGATTCAAGCCTAA